TTCTATGGAATGGAAGCAGTCAAACTGGCAAATTGAGTAGCTAACAATTGATATGATCAAAAGCGTCTTGACACACTTTTTTCCAGTGGAAATGGGCATCCTTCTTGACCAAAGTCGAGAAAGGACGACATCGCTTAGAGAGATTTGAAATAAACCTCCTATTGAATGCCATCTTCCCTTGAAGGGAACCCAACTGTGTTAAGCTTGTAGGAGGCTCCATATCTATGATGTATTTAATCTTGGTAGGTTCTATCTCAACACCTCTATGTCAGACTATGAAGCCTAAAAACTTCATGGAAGAAATGCCAAAAGCGCACTTTAATGGGCTCATCTTCATATCATACTTTCTAATGCGTTCAAATATGACTCTTAGATCTAAAAGATGGTTCTCTTTAGAGAGACTCTTGATTACTACATTGTCGATAAAATCATTGAAGATATGCGCCATCGCATGTTGATATGTTGCCCTAACATTTTTCAAGCCGAAGAGCATAACCTTGTAGCAAAAGATGCCTATAGACTTACAAAGCGCGTATGCTCTTCCGCTTCAGAGGTCATCCATAGTTTGTTATCCAGACAAGACATCCATAAAGTAAAATATTGCATATGTCGAGATGACATCTACCATCAGCTCTGGGATTGATTGAGGAAAATCATCCTTCAGGCATGCCTTATTCAAGTCTCAGGGTGGTCGGTCGAGGCAAAGTGGCAATGCCGATCATTTCAGAGTAGTTGGTTGAGGCAAAATGTAATGTGTGAAATGCAATGATATGATGTAAGTGATAACAAATAATTGCAAGCCATACTCGTGCTAATGATCTCATATCAACACCTTGGGTTTTAGCTATTTGATTTAAAACATAGCCGCCTCCTGCTTTGGTGAGGCACGTAGGAGGCTTTACATTCAGATTTCTAAAAAAGAAACTCTCCAAAATGTTGTGGAAAGGCGCGTAGGATGCTTTACATTTGGATTTCTAAAAAAGAAACTCTCCACAATATTGTGGAATGGAGTAACTACAATGATTTTTCCATTCCACAACTTGTGATTTTGCAAAGTGAATTAGCTACAAAGCTTTTCTCATTTCACAAAATCCAAATATCTCAATCCCTCCAAGGAGGGTTGGAAATGCTAAAGCAAGGCGAAATTAGGATTTCGGCTCATTAGGATTTAGGTATAGGGTTTGCAACGGAAAATCACTCGGCTTTGCAAAGGATTTGACCATACATGTGCTTCCTAACCTAGGGCTTCACCTATAAAATCAACGACCAATCCAAAGGTGTGTGGTTGTGCCAACTAGTGTCAGTTGGCTAACTTGCTTCGTGTGGGTGATCGAATCCGCAACACCTAGGGCTAACTAAGAAAAAAAAGCAAGGTTTGAGGAGGTTATACCATTGTTGTGGTTAATGAAAGTCTAGGCCTTGCTTGTGACAGAGAGATTCCAGCGACGCTCCAAGTATCGGCCTTTGCTCCCCTTGAGCAATGAAGTTCTCCTTGGAAGGAGTTTTTTGTTGCAAGTGCAACACCACCCTTAGCTCTTCCTCTCTGTTTTCTTAGATCGAGACAATTGTCGAGAAAGAAAAATGCGAGAGGAAGGGGAAGGAAGGAAAATGGAGAAATGAAGGAAGAAGAAGAAGTATAGAGAAGTCCTCTGATAACTCGCCAAAAATTCTTCAAACATTCCTGTGATCCCTCCTCAAGCTCTTTGCCTCTCCCTTATGACACAAGAAAGAAAAATACGAGAGAAGGAAGAAGAAAGAAATAGATAAGAGGAAGAAGCAAAAGAAGCCCAGGTGAAGAAGCTCTCCCAGAACTCCCCAAAACTCACCCATGCTCTATATTTGCTCCTGACTCTCACTAAGAAAAATGAGTGTGCCCCCCCATATCTGCCCCCATATGAAGGATATTCGTTGAGGTTCGAATGACCATTTGCCTCTTTTGGCAAGCACCCAGGTGAGCTCAGAGACCATTTTTTTTTCTAGGACCAGCCCAACTGTTTGTCCCAACAGTAGGAAGAAATCCAGATGAAAAAATGGGGACCAACCAGATTGCCTCTTTTGGCAAGCACCCAGGTGAGCTCAGAGGCCATTTTTTTTTCTAGGACCAGCTCAACTGTTTGTCCCAACAGTAGGAAGGAATCTAGATGAAAAAATGGGGACCAACCAGGCTGATTGTGTGTGGTGTGGCCAGGCTACAAATGCGGTGTGTCCACTCCTGGGCATGGTTACATCTAGCATACTTAGGGCCATTTCCTATTTTCTGGTAATTCGATCCACATGAAAAGGTCCGAAAGGACCTTCCCAAGCAAAAATGACATTCCAACGCATCTGCGATGTTTGTTCTGCCATCCAGAGTCATCTAAAGTATAATTTCCCACAAGTAAGCCATTTTAGGGCCTAATTCGTTTTTGTTACGCCGAACAAAATTCGTACGGTCGGGGTTGTCCCATCAATATAATGTCAGCTGGCCCTCGTCTCATCGACAACCAAAGCTTAACAAAACGATCTTGGCCACATGCCATATGTTTGAAGGTGGATGTCTTGGCCTCGAGGAGTCTTATGTGTGTGAAGCATACCCCAAGTCATTCTAGCGGACATCCTATACAAGTGACATCAAAAATTGATGCCAACAACTAACTAAGACCTATGTAGCTCACAACTTATGCATCTCCTTACTACGACCTCTATGAGCAACCGACACTTTTGTAACCAACATCTAAGACCCACATGGACAACTACTATCATGTTTTTCAACTACATTCATTACAACAAGTTGACATACAACCAACTTCTACAATATTTACAATGGACTATTGTCTGATCCATAACAATCATCTACGACCTCCACGGCTCTTACTGCTATTTTTGCTAAAATATCATTGTAGATTAACTTTGTAATCCCATTTTTTCTAACTCATAAGAAGAATATATCTATGTGCTCACCGTTATTTAGTGTGTTAAGTAATGTGGAGACCCAGTCCACTGCAATTTAATTGACTTCCTAATTAAGAATCTCACTTACCTCTCACCTAATTTCCCACCTACCGCTCACCTACCACATCCCATCTAACGCTCACCTACCTCCCACCTACCGCTCTCCTGATTTTTATAAATAGCCTCTTATGGCTTGTCATAAAGCCAAGTCAGGCCAAGCCAATCCAAGCCAAGTTCTCTAAGAGAGAAAGAGAGGAAAAGAGAGAGAGAGAGAGGTAGGGAGGAAAAGAGAGAGATTTTCTTGTAAACGTCGAGGCTCTCAATGGTGTAATTCCTCGAAGAAATAAAATACTCTACAGCTTCGTGGACGTAGACAAATTTGCCGAACCATATAAATTTGTGTGTCACTCTGGTGATTTTCTGAGTGTAATTTTTCTCGTTCCATTTTTCGCTCTATTGTCATCATTGTTTTTCACAACAACTAGTATCAGAGCCTTGGGTTCAAATCTAAGGAAGAACGATAGACAGAGACAAAGTGATGACATCGGAGATCGAGAAGTTCAATGACACAAATTTTACTTACTGGAGGACGCATATAGAGGACTACCTCTACGGGAAAAAACTTCATCTTCTGTTATTGGGAAAGCGGCATGAAAAGATGGACGAGACGAAATGGAATCTTTTGGATCGACATGTTCTGGGGGTTATTTGATTAACCCTGTCAAGATTGGTTGCCCACAACGTCATCAAAGAGAGGGCTACTGTAGATCTCCTGACAGCTTTATCACGTATGTATGAAAAGCCATCGGCGAATAGCAAGGTGCACCTGATGAAAATGTTATTCGACTTGAAGATGACAGAAGGGGAGTCTGTTGCTCAACACCTGAATGATTTCAACACTATCACAAATCTGTTATCGTCTGTTGAAATTGATTTTAATGATGACATACGTGAGCTGGTATTGTTGGCTTCATTGCAAAATAGCTGAGAAGTCATGAGGATGGCAGTTGATAGTTCTGCAAGTAAATCTAAGCTGAAATATGATGATATTTGTGATTTAATTTTGGCTGAGGAGGTACACAGGAAGGATTCTAGCAAGGCATCGTATTCAAGTTCGACGCTAAATGTTGATTATAGAAGGAGATCACATGAAAGGATCTCAAACAGAGGAAAATCAAAATCAAAGTTTAGTCAACAGACAACCTGCTGGAATTGTGGCAAGGCTGACCACATAAAAAGGAACTGCAGGAATCATAAGAAGAAGGAGAATGATGACACTAATGTTGTAACTAAAGAAATACAATATGCACTATTACTGACAGTTCACAGTTCTGTTGATGACTGGATACTAGATTCAAAAGCTTTCTTTCATACATCTTCTCGCCGGGAGTTAATGTGAAATTATGTTGCAGTTAACTTTGGGAAGATATATCTAGCTGATGGAAAAACTCTGAATGTGGTGGGGATGAGAGATGTTGATATTGCACTCCCTAAAAAGAGCAAATGGACTTTGCAAAAGGTTAGGCATGTTCTTGATTTAAAGAAAACCTCATCTTAGTTGGGCAGCTCAATGAGGGTGACCATTCGGTAGCGTTCTCAAATAGCACCTGGGGTTACTAAAAGAGCATTAGTACTGACTCGGGGGAAGAAAACTGACACACTATATATGCTACAGGTTTAATCAGACATGGTCACATGAGCCAGAGGTGCATTATGGCAAAGCAGAAGAAAGTCGGTTTCCTGAAAAGTGACAGAGCGCCAAAGGCAGGAAAACCAGACCTTATACAGAAAAATGGCGGAGAATCACATAGTTATGAAGAAATCTTACAAGATGAGAATTTGAGCAAGTGAGAGCTGACCAAGAAGGAGGAGATAGATTCCCTGCCAGAGAATCAGACTTGGGAGCTGGCAAAACTTCCACCAAGGAAGAAGAAATTGCACAACAAGTAGGTGTACCGGG